CTACCTATAGATTACACTAATTAAACAAACAAAAACAATTACAAATTGTCTTAATAAGTTTCCTTAAATGCTTTTGCTTACTTAATTTAAGTATTCTAAATAAAAACAAGTACAGTGCAAACACTTTATAGAAGACTCACATATTACAGCGTTCATCGAAGTCCATTTGATTTGCTTTAACGGTTTCTCGCTAGCCAATTAGAGAATTTTACTCCAGCTTTCGTTGGCTTCTCTTAAAAGTGTCTGCTTCTTGCATGAAATTCCAATTAGAAAATATTTATATGAACGTTTTGTTGCAGCAACTGCTATAAGATTAGAGGAATGCAAATGAAGTAAAAGAGTTTATTCCGACAGCGACGGCATCTAATTGGAGTAGTCGCAAAAGTTGAACGTTGAACAGCGACTTTATGAAAATCAATAAAATCGAAAACTAGCCAGAGTAACAACCACCACGAAACAATACACACACATAAACACTCACTCACGCACACACGTGAAGTTTTTGCCAGAGGCCGGAAATGTGTGCGCGCCTGTGCCAGGAGTTGAAACCTGGCCAGGAATGCGGGCGGGGGCGGTGGCGTTGGGCAAAAGAATGAATGGGCAAAGCGGAAAAAACGCTAGCGCTGCTTTCAACCACCGCAGAGCAAAGTAGAAGTTGTTGCAATGAAACAATGTTTATTGTTGCCCAGCCGGATGTGCAGTGAAGTGCCGAAGCACGAAGCGGGGGAGGGCCGAGGGGCGGGCGGTGCAGACTAACAGCCAAAGCAAACAATGCAAAATGTGTTTGCAGCGTCTAAACGTTGAATTTCCACGTGTGAACGTTTTGGCGAACGCTGTTGAACTGTTCTAATGCCATAAATCTAATTGAAGCGGCTTTTGGGTTAGCCGGTCACAGAACCGCCCCCATCCCTCCGGCACCGCTTGATAAGCACCATTAAAAGCGACTGCAACTTTTCTTAAGCGACATAAATTAGAAGTTTGCCCAGTGTCCAGCTAAGTAAAACAATTGAACAATGCACCAAGCAAGCAGCAAGACCAACAACTGGCAGCAACTAGAAGTTGTTGTCCTGTCCACATTTTGCTGCACTTTCAGCTGTCAAGCGTAGCGAAAGCAAAAAAAAACTTAAAATGCCATAAAATATAAAACTTTGAACTGCTACCTGGGCCAAATGGGCGTGGCTGGCGCTGTCAACTACTGCAACAACAACGACAACAATTGATACTAACAACTAAAACTTGAACAACCTGAATGAGGTCCATTAAATGGATTGATGCTGCGACTGCAACATTATTTGAATTGTGTCAATTGACAATGGCTGAGGGTTAAAGAGGCTAGGGAAAGGGTATTCAAAGTGTCATTAACTTAATGGATTTCCAATGGATAAAGCTTGAAGAACCTTAACTTAATATAAATATATTTTGTTAATATTTTGATTGAAATATTTCGAAATTGGCTGTGATTTAAGCAGATTTTTTTTTTAATTTTTAAAGTTCCTAGAATGTGTTTGGAATTACAAATTCCTTTACATTTTTCAATGTAAAAATAAATTAAATACTTAAATTCAACTTCATAGAATTTTTATATCTATTGAAATACGTTTGTTTCGTGATCCATGAACTAATTTGATATGATATTTATGTACATATCAATAAATATATAAGTATATAATTAATATTAATACCTCTTAAGAATCCTCTAAAAATAAAATTCAGATTTGGATTTCAGATTAATAACAAATCTGTCTTATTACTAAGCCAGCTTGAACATGATCCATTTAAATAAAAAATGATTATCGCCTAAGCATAAAAAATAAAGCTAGAAATCTGTATTTCATTTTTCAATGTCCCACGCCTTTATCTCTCTTATACTCGCTCTCTCTATCTTCTTACACATTTAATACTCGCTCCCTCTCCTTCTCCCTCTCTTTCTCTCTGTCCGCCAACTTTCCACACTTGTCTCGCTGCTTGCCACGCACTTTCAATTTTTCTTATCAATAAAAGACGCTGCTTTAGCTGCCTCTGCTGCTGCTGTTCGTTTTCATTGTGTGTTGTAAGTGGGCGACGTTGAGAGCTGCATTAAAAAAATCAAGTGAATGGCTGCTGCGAGGCATGAGCGACCAAGAGATACCACACAAAAATACTGAAGTTCAAATAATGAAAACTAATTGGGAATTTTAAGAAATTTTGATTTTGATTTGATATGAGAGATCTTTCGCTATAAGATAATACCAGACTATATTTGAATTATTACATATATTGCTACAAAGCCAATATACCCCTTTTATGCAAATCTACTTTGGCTACAGGGCATATAGCAACACAAAGGCCGCTGTCGCGGCTTGAACAATTGAATTTTCTACTTCTGCTGATGCTGCCACTTCAGCTACTTTTTCACTATTAAGCAGCAGCAGTTGTTCTTGTTGTAGTTGTTATTATTGTTGTTGCCTCCTCCTCCTTTTCCTTCGCGCTTGCTGTAAATTGCGATTTGCCTTTGTGAATTGTCGAATCGAAAGCAAAATGAAAATAATCAAAAAAGAGAAGCATCAGCTTAGATCTTCAACAAGTTAGGGCCGTTAGACGAGAGCTAAGCAGATTTACCGTTTGCCATTTCGCAATGATTTGTGAGCCAAAAAAACCAAAAGGCATAATTGCCAAGTGCAGCACTCAAAATGAACTCTTTGAACAGACAGAGACAGACTCCATCGCTCTCCCCCTCTATGTAGATATGAAAAAAGTGCCGACCGATAAAAAAGAAGGCAATGGAAAGAGAAGTGGCAAAAGGTAAATAGCCAGCCATCAAAAAGCGCCATCAACAGCAACAACAACAACAAACTGGAAGTTGTCATCGCATAGTAGAATGTGTTAATGAAAATTCGTATGCCTGGAAGTGGAATGGGAGGTGAAGAGCGGCAAAACATGCAGATAAGCTATAAAAATACTATTTAAAAAAATTGTATTGTGGCTTGAACTTCAAACAGCGACGATGCTTGGATAATAAACAGGCCAAAGAAAAAAGTAAATAAATAAATGCGGCAAAGCTCCAACAAAAATAGCAGCAGCAACAGTAAAGCGAGAGAGTGAGAGAGAGAGAAAGAGAGAGAGATGGTAAGGAAGAGCATGAGCAGCAGCTGCATGTGTTGCTCTTGCTCTCACTCTCTCTCTCGCTCTCTCTAGTGGTATTCCAGGCGCAGACGTCGACAGCTGGTTGCCGAACTGGTTTCGTTTGGTCCTCCAGCTAAATTACAGACAATTACAAACAACAACAGCATTGCTCTTTGACTTTTTAAACGCAGCAGCAGCGGCAGCAGCAGCAGCTGAGTAATAAAATGGGATTTGCTTTTATCAGCAGCAGCAGCGTAAATAGAAATTGCTGCGGGAGAGCAAGATTGTGCTCTCTTCCATTATGTGCCTCTTCTCTTCATTTACACTAATTTGTTGCTGTTGCTTTGTTGTTTGTTTTTTTTTTATTGTTTAGTTATTTGGCTGCGTTCATTGGCTTTTGTAACGGGACTTTGTTATGTCGAGATGCATTTTTGTGCCACTTTTCGAGCGATGCGTTGGCCACACTCACTCACAATCACACATACTCAACAAGGAGCAAACAAGTTTCCAGGGCAAATGGTCTAAATATAGCAAAAAATCTATTAGAGTATGACACCACTTACCTTTAATTTTAATTAGATGGAAAATTCAGCGTCGGTTTAATTTATTATTGGAAAGCCAGCGGCTTAGCCGCGTGTTTATAGTTACCGCTATAAAGCACAGTTGTTGCCAGCGTCTCGCGTTCTTTTGTATTTCACGGTCGTTAGACTGTATGCAAAACTGAATAATAAAAACAATGTGAAACTATTTCCCGAATTTGCGCTAATTGGAAAACATAGAGGATGGAGCGAAAGAGGAATAACAGGAAAATATCCTGCGGGCGCTTTGAAAAAGTAAAATGCAATAGTAATAAAAAGATAGACAACAGAAGCAGAAAATAAGTAACAGAAACTTTCAATGCGAGGCGTTGGTCGCGGGTAGCGGAAACAGAGGCAGAGACGTCTGTCGGTAAAATTCCAAAAAGAGAGAGAAACAGAGAGGCAAAGAAGAAGCACTGAAGTTGGCGGCGGCTTTTGCTTTTGCACTGCGCAGGATATTTGCGGCGTTTATATTTTATTTTTTATTTATTTTAATTAAATTTCATCATTCGTTTATTTTTTTTACTTTGTTTGCTTCATTTTTTTCTTCTTTTCTGTTACTCCGCTTTGACACTTTATTTCAGTTTTCCCCACTTCTTTTGCGATGGTGTGTTCATGTGAGTATGTTGTGTATTTGTGTGCGTTAGTGTGAGTGTTGCTCTGTTTGTGTTTCACTGCAACTCCGTTGCTGCTGTTTTACTTGCTGTTTGCTTTGCTTGGAAACTGAAACTTCTTTCTCTTTTGCACACACACGCTGACACAGCCATACGCACGTTCACACACACACACACACACACACACATATTCACATGCATACAAACAGAACGGCACAAACAACTCACTTCAAAAACTTACACGTTGCTTCTTTGAATTAAACTTCAATTTGCTCTTTACAGATTTTAGATTTGATACTATATTCCTACACTTATGTTTTTGTTTTAATTCTTATTTTTCACCGACAAGAAACGGAGAAAACACCGACCGACATAGCCTCGCACAGAAAACGCGTCCAACTCGCTCAACGGTTTTTTTCGACTAAAAGAAGTTGTCCCTCCCGCTCGCACGACAACAAAAACGACAGCGTGCTAGTGTGACCAATTCACGCGAAATTTAAAACTAGAACTAATTAATAGTTTTGTTTCTGCATGCTATGCCATCGGAAGCATTTAATTTTAAGTAAATATTAAGAAAAAAAACAATAAATTCAATTTATTTTCAATATATAAATGAAATACTTTAACTTGTATGTACTGCAAAAAATACTTCATATATGTGACATTTTTTAGTGCATTTCCATCATCCGGCATTTGTTTTTATGCAGTGGCAACGCCATTCGATATAGTTGCCACACAAGTTTATTGTATCACATCGTTTTTCTTGCGGTGCGCGGCCGCCTGAGTTTTAGCTCTTTTTAATTAAAAGAAAACTGCCAGTAGGCTGCTAAAAGTTAAATAGAACATTTTTACATTGCTATTCTAACTTAAATCATATAAAACTAATCAGCGCCGCGTTTTACGTCAGCCCGGCGGCAGTGACTATGCAGTCCCATAGCAAAAAGCGCGTTTGCTACTATTACGACAGTAAGTTGGCATTAAAATGACTTAAATTACATGAAATATAGCAAATAAGGTGATAAACAATAAGTGCGTGCCCAGATAAATTATTATAAGTCTGCGGCATCGCGTCGGCAAGTTGCTGAGCAGATTTGTGAATTTCAATTTTTAAAGCGACTGTACTAGCATTTTGGCACACAGCGCACTTTGCGCTAACGACCGCAGCAAATGCGACTCTGTCGGTGGTGTGTGTGTACGTGTGTATACCTGTAGGCCTTTGTTTTTGGTATAGCGAAAGTGCTGCTCTGTTTGTATGCGGAAAAGTGCGCTGTGCGCATGGACGCCTCGCCGACAGTGGCTGTAAAATTTTCGTTTTACACAGCGTGGCGCAAATTTGTATTTTTCGTATACCCTGTGCAGCTAGATAAGATGGGGTGTATTGATTGTTGTAAGTGTTTGTTATTGAGGCTGTTTAATTAAAATGTAGATGGGATTGAGTAGCTGAGTGGTAAAAAATAAACTTGGTAAATATACTTTACACATTAACAGACTCTAAAAGGCAGGGTATGTATGTAGACATTGTTTAAAATGATTGAGAGTTATTAATATATACTTACAGTTTTGCAGTTGTATATCCAGTTAAATTAAGTAGTAATTGTTTATTAAGCGATCACAGGGTATTTCCCCGTCTGTACACAAAGTTCTCGTTCTCTTTTAGAGTTTAGGAGCCACTGCAACAGTTTTGCATTCTAATAGTATGCAGTAATAGGTAGAAATTCGATGTCGATCACTTCCAGGGTATTTTTTAGTCAATAAATATTAATGTGAAACTTCTTTGCACTCCACAGGTGACATTGGCAACTACTACTATGGCCAAGGTCATCCCATGAAGCCCCACCGCATACGCATGACCCACAATCTGTTGCTCAACTATGGACTCTATCGCAAAATGGAGATTTATGTGAGAGTCCGAGTGGGATATACCTAATGAAACGATCTAATCAAATGTTTAATTGCAGAGACCACATAAAGCCACAGCGGATGAGATGACAAAATTTCATTCAGATGAATATGTGAGATTTTTACGTTCCATACGTCCGGACAATATGACGGAGTACAACAAACAGATGCAGCGCTTCAATGTGGGCGAAGATTGTCCCGTCTTCGATGGACTGTACGAGTTCTGTCAACTCTCCGCCGGAGGATCAGTGGCCGCAGCTGTTAAGCTGAACAAACAGGCCTCGGAGATCTGCATCAATTGGGGTGGCGGACTGCATCATGCCAAGAAATCAGAAGCTTCCGGCTTTTGCTATGTCAATGATATCGTGCTTGGAATCTTGGAGCTGTTGAAGTATCATCAGCGAGTGCTCTACATCGACATCGATGTGCATCACGGCGATGGCGTGGAGGAGGCATTCTATACCACAGATCGTGTGATGACTGTCAGCTTTCACAAGTACGGAGAATACTTCCCGGGCACGGGAGACTTGCGAGACATTGGCGCTGGCAAGGGCAAATACTATGCTGTGAATATTCCACTGCGCGATGGCATGGACGATGATGCCTACGAAAGCATCTTCGTGCCCATAATATCGAAGGTGATGGAGACCTTCCAGCCAGCTGCTGTGGTGCTGCAATGCGGTGCAGATTCGTTGACGGGCGATCGTCTGGGCTGCTTCAATCTGACCGTCAAAGGACACGGCAAATGCGTCGAGTTTGTTAAGAAATACAATCTGCCCTTCCTGATGGTCGGCGGCGGCGGCTACACCATACGAAATGTCTCCCGGTGCTGGACCTACGAGACGTCGGTTGCTCTAGCTGTTGAAATTGCCAACGAGCTGCCCTACAACGATTACTTCGAGTACTTCGGACCAGACTTCAAGCTCCACATCAGTCCGAGCAATATGACAAATCAGAACACAGCCGAATATCTGGAGAAGATCAAGAATAAGTTGTTTGACAATTTGCGTCTGTTGCCGCACGCGCCGGGTGTTCAAATCCAGGCCATACCCGAGGATGCGATCAACGATGAGTCCGAGGACGAGGATAAGGTGGACAAAGACGAGCGTTTGCCGCAGAGCGACAAGGACAAACGCATTGTGCCGGAGAATGAGTATTCGGATTCAGAGGACGAAGGCGAAGGCGGCCGCCGGGACAACCGCAACTACAAGGGCCAACGCAAGCGGCCGCGTCTCGACAAGGAGCCCATCATTAGCAATGCCAGCAGCAAAGCCAGCGCCGAGAGCAGCGAAACCAAGGATGAAAAGGAGAAGGGTATATATAGCATACTATAGCCAACTATCGATCAATTTGAACTAACATTTTGCCCTCTCTTTTTCGTACAGCTGAAGGTGAAGGCGAGGAATCCGCCACAGCCAACAATACGAATAGCAGCAGCAGCAACAGCGGCGGCAGCAATAGCAACAAAGATGATGCTGCCACGCCCACGGCTGGTGGTGGTAATGCCGCCTCCGCTGCATCGAAGGGCGCCAAGGAGAACAATATATGACGTGGCGGCCGCAATTGGTTATAGAAGCCAATTAAGCGACCGCCCAAATACAAGCCGCCGGATTTCACCTAGCATACGGATCCAAAAGCAGTGCAAAACTGTACAAATTCAGGGATCCCGGAGCTTAGTCAAATAAAAGAGGGAAAAACGAAAAAAAAACTCAACTTAATCTAAAATACAATTTATTGTAAGGCAACATTTTCATTCAGAGTGAAGCGAATTCGTGTTTTAAGCTAAGCCACAGATAAAAGATTAAACGAAAGATACATTTAAAGCACAGATACATTTAACAAGAACACAAATCAACTAAGATACAGCTACAGTTACATTTAAAGATAAATTCTACAGTTACTTACCGCATAAGCAAGATCCACACGTGTTTTTTAATCGATCGCCGCAAACTTTTAACAAAATAAAACCCTTTTTAAATGTAAAACTTGTGAAACTTTTAATTGATATATAAAGATGGAATATAGCGACAGAATTTGGTATGTAAATAAGATGGAGATTATTATATGAATTTTGTATATACAGAGATTTTATATAGATTCTGAAACTATATTTATTTGGTATATATAGAAATATTGAAATGTTCTAAATTTTAGATATTCAACTTATATATTAGAATCTCTTTTGTATTAGAAAGAAACTATAGCAATATATCTTATGTTATCAAAGATATTATGAGTATAAATATATTATAGAGATATATGGATATATATATAGATATATAAATTTTGTTAAGATATGCCTCGAAGTCACATTTAGACAGGCACAGTTGGTGAGACAGACACAGAAATGTCATTGTTAAAACGAGAAGGCATTTTGTATAAGACATGAGAATCACATAGAGAAGCTACAGAAATTTCAATTATAATTCTTACGCAATACATTTCTCACCTTTACTACTACTTATTTATTACACACTGTGTATAAAGCTTACTGCTTAAAAGTCCAGAAAAAATTATTTAAATTCCGGAGAAGCCAAAAGAAAGGTCAGAAATTACAAATATAGAGTTTCTAGTACGTAAATCAGGCTAGTTACAGAAATTTGACAAAAACTAATTAAAAATGAATTTACACATATATAGTAGATTCGCTTAATATAACTGGCAAGGCTTGCAAGTCTGATGAGCTTGACTTCATGAGAATCGCATAGAACAGAAAATATTTTTATTAGGTCATATATTTATCTTACCTTGAAACTGTAAGCTAAAAAAAAACAATTTTCATCTTAACAATTCCTTTTTCTTTTTATTTATTTTTTTATTATTTAAATATAGTTGCTTCAGAAGCTTAATTAAATTCATGTGAATCCCATAGAAGAGCAAACTGCAAAAATTCCAATTAAAAATATTTTTATTTTTATTTTCAATTGGTTTGAATTTTTTTTTTTGAATTTCAAAAAGTTTTCTATATTATTAATTTATAAATTTCCTTTAACTCCACTTTTAATAATATTAATATTCTAATTTTTCATCTCAATACTTACTTTCCAATCAGCTAGATGTTTTCCAATTGGACTTATTTAAATATCAATTTCGATTTCTTTTTTAATACTTTTCTTTATTCAAAAAGGAACTTGTGACAAATTTATTCAACATTGACTAACTAAAATTTCAAACTAACTAAAGTACAGTTTTCCAATTGCAATCAGTCGAAGGCAAACGCTTGGCCAATCAGACTGACTGACTGGCTAACTGAGGCGCACTTGATGAGACTTTTTGGTGACTAATCCAGCGATAATATCGACTCGATGCTGTTCCGATTGCTGCGTGGCTGCAGGCGTGGCCCGCCCAAATAGCTAATTGGATTCGCGAACTGCCGCTGCAGCAGTGCAGCCTCTAAGTACATGGGCGGCAGCGTTGCCGGAGGGGCGCGACGGGCAGCCGATGTTGCCGAAGTTGTCCAATTGGAATTTGCGGCGCTGATGTCAAAGGCGAGCTCCGTGTCATCGCGTGCTTTGTAATGGGATTTGCGTCGCTGCGGTAGCTGCTATGGATTGTCGTGGGCGTGGCAGTGGGCGGTCGGGGTCAGGAATTGAGGTTATGTTTGGTTTGGGTTTTCGGTTTTGGGATGCGGGATGCGGGTTTTAGATCAAATAATTTAGGGTTTAATTCGATTTGGCTGTATTTGCAAGTGTTGTGAAATGGACGAGGTGTGAATAAACGTGACCGGAGAGAGATATATAGATATATGTATATATTTCAAATAATATTTTCTCAAAAAAGCACACATACACATGTCTTTTTGGTAGGGGCAATGGGCGTGGCAATGATGATATGCAAAAAATTTTTCTTAAAATATTTCAATATTTGCCGTCATTTGGCAATTATTTGGTACACAACAATAAAACGAAGTTTAACTGCCGTTAGTCCAGAGTCGGTATGAACTGTGCTAAAGCAAGACGACAAGAGAGATCAAGACAACAGAAAAAATATTACGTTACTGTTAAATGAGCAGAGGCGATCGTAAGAGCAGCACCAGCGACACTTAACAGTGCCAAAATTAATGTGAATGTGAAAATGGTCGATTAACACGATTGGTGCTGTTAATTGCAGCGGAATATTAAAGCTTCTTTAGCTTTGCCGGCTTAAACGTAGCGTAGGATTAAATAAATATAGATTATACATGTCTTGGTCTAGAAAATCACTTTTGCGTTTTCCTATTCAATTGAAGTTTTCTTTTTAAAGTCCTAAACGCAACATTGTATAGTTAAGAGCGTGTAGTTTTTTGTTACGCTTTTTTTTATTTTATATATGTAATATATCTTCTATTTGTAATTCAGTGTAAAGTGTGTATGGTCTAAAAAATCCACTTTGCAGCGCATTAAATTTGCGCTTTGTGTTTTTGGCAACAATGGCTTCACCCTTGACCCAGCACGAAAGAGTAAGCCACTTCACAGTCCGCCACACTTGCTTCAAGCGCTCCATCTCTTTCTCCCTCTCACTTAAAATCAACTACACGCAGTGCAGCAGCGCAGCAGCAGCAACCGCAATTTGCAATCGGGCACACATGCTTGCACATGTGCGTTTGTGTGTGTATGAATATGTGTAGTCATCAGCGAAAGAAACGTACAAATGGAAGAGGCAAACGGGTAAGTGAAGTCGCTGTTTGCGTTCTCTTCTTTATTACAGTTTTACATATGCATACGCATTTTTACATACATACATGCATAATTGCGCTCCTAAAGTGACCTTTGCTAGACGCAAGCATACGCACGCGCTAGCGGTTATTTAAACGGTAATCGCTATACGTTTTATGCGTCGCTTAGCAATGAGACAGTTAAAAGGAGCTTTATATATTTTCTGCTGCACAGTGGTTTATGGGTACAAAAAAAATAAATAAAAAAAGAAACGATGCCATAAAAAGTAATTAAGTGGAAATGTTATTTAAATGAAAAAAATTCCATCAGAAGTTCGTCTTTCTTGCAATTAAATAAAGAGTTCACATTTATATTTGATGCCTGTTTTATAGAAATGTTTATGCGCTCGCAAGGCTTTACGAAAAATTGTTATTTCTCGCGTCGCTTTTTCATAGTTTTCCATTTGCAGCAACTCATTTCAGTTGCACTTTTGCTCGCTTTTATTGTTCTCGGTTGAAGGTAACGTCAACAACAACAACAAGAACAGCGATAATAACGGTGCCAGCAACAAAAGACAAGCAAACTTGCACTTTCACGCACACCAATACACGCACACAATGCTACACTACTGCACTGCGTGTGTGTGTCTGTATTTATGTTTGTGTTGTTGCATTTGGCGGCCATATTAACATTGAGCGCATAACTCTGCCATTTTTCATAGCATACTGCGCGAGGCTAGTGATGGAAAAGGGGTTTATACGGAGCTGCATGAATGGAACGCACTGTTGCGCTTGTACACTCAGCGAAAAGCGCTTTTGTTTTTTCCTCACAGATAAGACGTAAATCGGAGCACTAGAATTATTTTTAAAACAGTTTTTGAGACTTTTACTTGCTTTTTTTTTTAATTCTTAAAAAATAAAACAGAAAAAATACTAAAAGTATATAAATTTAAAATTTAACAAGGTAAGGTAAATACATTTCAATAATATTTTTTTTACCTCATTTTGTGAAAATTATTTATATTTTTATATTGATTATTTTATTTCGAAGTGTAAACATTTCAAAGACTTTGTGCCAGTCATCATTTGCTGCTGTTGCCGCGTTGGGCAATTTGTTCTCCACCTGACAGCAAAACACACACAAACAAACACACACACTTACACACAGAGAGAGAGTGTCGGGTACTTGAATGTATTTATTACACATGTTTTACATTGTACGCACAAGTTTGTTGCCCGGCGTTTGGGTCGCTGGTCAACAAGAAGCAAATGCTTTGTTAACCATTATGGGCCATGTTTTAATACGCCAACAACAACAAGCATAACTTTTCACATTTAATGAGCGAGCGAGACAGAGAGAGAGCTAGAGGGGGACAGTTCCACAATTGAAAGAAAAAGTTTGCGTATTTTTTGTATTTCAACTTTTTTTTTCACAATCGCGATCAGTCGTTCGACCTGTAAAGACGTGAATTCGAACAGCCTTCGCTTAAGCTCTACTGCTGCAGAGTTCTAAAAATAGAACTTTGCGGTGCATTCTTCAACGCAACAGCAACAAAAACCGCACACGCAGCGTTTTCTTATCGCTTGCTTCCGCGTAACTCAATTGCTTTAATTGCAATTTACGAAATTTCGTCGCTTGGCGCGAGTGCGCCTGCACTCAAAAGCACAATCCGCGATGACATCTAATGTCAATAACCTCGCTACAGCTGTAAAGGTAAATGCAGAAATGCAAGCCCAGCTTAACGTTGTGATGGCAAATAGGCAAGCCTCCATCATGCCAATAAACTCAAAAATAGATATCGCCTCCGTGCAAGGCATCACTAACAACAAAAACACGAAACGTAAACAGCCAAATTCACCAAAAACCATCAAGAAAAGGCTCATCTTCGACGAACCAAGCACCAGCAATGCAGCATTAATATCAGAAAATCGATTTTCACTGCTCGTAGAAGAAGATGAAGACTACAGCGAATCACCTGTAGCTCCAGAAGCCCCAGTATTGACCGACCAGCAAACTACACCGAAACCTCGTCCGCCCCCCATATGGTGTCCAAACATCAAGTCTGTGGCCCTACTTCAACAGATAATAGATAAAGTAATTGATGCTAAATCATACGTAATTAAGCCAAAGAAGAATAACATAGGTGTATTAACCCAATGCAGTGAGGACTATCGCAGAGTTATAGACCACTTTACTAAGCTGGAATTGGAGTTCCACTGCTACCAGCTTAAGGAGGACAAACCATATAGAGTCGTGTTCAAAGGGCTTCACTCCAGCACTGATACAACACTAATTAAAAAGGAATTGGAAACCAAAGGCCACACAATTACAAATGTGCACAACCCACTGAGCCGTATGGACAAAACACCGCTAAATATATTTTTTGTTGACGTGGCTCAGGCCCCCAACAACAAAGAAATTTTGGACATTCGAGTTGTCTGCAGGCAACGCTGCACAGTGGAACTGCCAAGAAGATACAACGACCTGACACAATGCCATCGCTGTCAAGAATTTGGACACACACAACGCTACTGCCACAAAGCTCCCAGATGTGTGCGTTGCGCCGGGAAACACGCATCCAAAGACTGCACCCGCGAAAAGGACCAGGCACCAACTTGTGTGCACTGTGAGTTACAGCACCCAGCCAACTATAAGGGCTGCCAAGTATACAAGCGGTTGCGCAAATTGCAATCCCCAGCACAAAAAAGGAGTCCCACACAAACACCGTCTACGGGTCCGAGTACTGCTTCCGAAATTACAAGGCCCCGGAGCATTACCCAAGCCACGAGCTTTGCAACGCCTATTAGTGGTGTTTCTTACGCACAGGCCGCTAGAGGTGGACCGTCAAATAAGAATACCACAAGTGACACTTTGTTCACTGAAATGCTTCAGCAACAACAACGTCAGTTTGACGCAATTAATGCCGAGCTCAAAGCGATGCGAGAAGTACAATCCCAACAAGCAACCATGCTAAACAGTTTAATGGCCATCATAACCAAGCTTGCCTACAAATAATGGCTTTACGTGTGGGTATCTGGAACGCCAATGGCCTGAGAAACAAGACTCAGGAACTGGCTGCGTTTCTCTCACAAGAAAACATAGATATAATGTTAATAACAGAAACTCATGAGTGCCCCACTACACAAATTTTCGGATACGAACACTATCAGGCTCATGGTGAAGGAGCAAACTGCTTTGGTGGATCCTCAATCCTCATACGAGCAACAATACCGCATACACCTTTACTGCCAATTTGCAACGCAACAATGCAGGTCTCAGCCATCACCCTGCCTACGTCTATTGGAGCGATCGAAGTTGCGTCAATTTATCTTCCGCCAAACACTGGTCTGTGTGATCATCACATGGAACAGGTTCTAGGCCAAAGGTTGAATAAGACCCTCATCGGCGGCGACTGGAATGGATGGCACCCATTTTGGGGAAGCAATAGTGCGAATCGTCGCGGAGAAGTCATATTTGAGGCGATTCAAAACTTACAATTCAGCATATTGGCGACTGGAGCCCCCACCCGTTACCCAATTAATGGACACAGGCCCTCGGCAATCGACTTCGCTGTCTACAAAGGCATCTGTGACCGGCAATTGACCATTGAAGAATCCTTGGACCTATCCTCTGACCACCTGCCACTAATAGTCACAATCCACGCGCAGCCACAGCCCTTGCCCATTAGGAAACAACTACTGCCAGCAGGATCAGATTTAGGAGTCTTTAGGCGCGAGCTCCATTACTCTTTGCACATAGAAATGGAACTTAACACTCCTGAAGACGTGGACTACGCAGCAAACAAACTGCAGGAAGAAATAGTCAAAGCTGCGCACCAAGCCGCCCCACCATCTTGCCAAACAAGACAACAGTCTCCGTACAACATCCCCCTCACCTTGGAGGCCCAACACCTACTAATACACAAAAGATGGGCCAGGAGACGCTGGTTAAGATTACGCACGCCTGATGCCAAATCCATGTACAACGAAGCCACGAGGCATCTTAAAGCTGCTCTCGCCCTGCTTCAAAAGAGGTGTATCAGCGATGCGCTGGTACGAGCTGAATCGCCCACTGACGCAGAGTTTCAATTATGGAAATTTACAAGAAAGCTCAAACGGCAGCCAATACGACGTCATCCCATTCGGAGCATTTCTGGTTCCTGGCACATTGGAGACGAAGCTCAAGCTGAGGCTTTTGCAAACCACCTTCAAGACCAATTCACGCCGGTGATTACCGCAGAGGCCTCAGAAATCGAAGCAACAGAAGACATCGTTCTCTCGCCCCTCCCAGCTGAAGACCAGATAACTGGATGTACAAAAGAAGAGGTTCTTGAACACATCAGAAGAGTGAAGGCAAAAAAATCCCCTGGATATGATCTAATAAACGGCAGAGTCCTTAGAGCACTGCCTGACTCCACCATAGACTACATAACTATGGTGTACAACGCCATGCTCCGCATCCGGCACTTTCCAGCCTGCTGGAAGCGCGCCGTGATTGTGATGATTCCTAAGCCTGGCAAACCCGTGGGAGAAATTGAGTCGTACAGACCAATTAGCCTGTTGCCAGTACTCTCCAAAATATTCGAAAGAATATTTCTGGAACGAGTACTGACACATCTGGGACGCCAGGAGGCCATTCCAAACCATCAGTTTGGCTTCAGGAGACAGCATGGAACACCGGAACAGGTTCACAGAGTTGTGCACCATATCCTTGGAGCCTTTGAAGAAAAGATGTACTGCTCTGCCGTCTTTTTAGACATCAAACAGGCGTTTGATCGAGTTTGGCACCTGGGAATGCTGCAGAAAGTGAGGACCACCCTTCCAGCCCCATTTTTCGCGTTGCTATCCTCATACCTTATTGGAAGAACCTTCCAAGTGTCAAGGGGGCAAACAGTATCCTTGACTAGACCAATTATGGCTGGAGTACCACAGGGTAGTGTTCTAGGCCCAACACTTTATACTTTATTCACAGGAGATATGCCAACTCCCGAGCCAAATATAGGAAGTACAGATGCAGTACTCATAGCGACCTATGCAGATGACACCGCCATCTTATCACGTCACGTATCTGCGCAAGAAGCTTCAGACTCACTACAAAAATATCTGGACTCTTTCGGACGCTGGGCAAAACGGTGGTGTATCACCATTAATGCACAAAAGTCTGTACATACTACCTTCGCCACTAGAAGAGGAGATTGCCCAAGCGTTGCATTGGGGCCCACTATTCCCAAAGCCTCAAAAGTAAAGTACCTTGGTATCACTCTTGACAGAAGGCTGACTTTTAAAGCGCACATAAGTCAAGTAACCTCAAAATGCAAAAGCAAGCTAAAAACCCTCGACTGGATGCTGAGAGCTTCAAGCAAGTTGTCTTACAGCAGCAAGGCCGCCATCTACAAGGCAATAGTTGTCCCAACCTTCGTATATGGTATCTCTCTATGGGGCTCCTCGGCGAAGACTACAAGGAACAAAATTCAGACCCTGCAGAATAAAGCACTACGCAGATGGACTGGAGCCAGCTGGTTTGTAAGAAACTCAGTCTTACATAGGGATTTAGCAATTCCCACAGTTGCTGAACTCATTGGGCGACACAGTTCAAGATACGCGGACAGACTTGCAGCGCATCCTAACCATCTCGCAAGCAACCTGGCTATAAACAACAATAGGCGAAGACTGAAGAGATTGCATCCTCTAGACAATATTAGAACTAATTAAGATAGTAGCTACAAGTGCAGAATAATTGGCATATCTGCCCTCCCATTAGTTAAGGTTTAGAGCTAAATGCGCTATAGAGTCTAAGACAATAAGCTGCAACAAAATAAAGAAATAAAAACGAAAAAAAAAAAAAAAAAAAAAAAAAAAAAAACTTTTTTCAACGCGGAAATTAATAACAAATTGCTCGAAGGCAGCTTGACGCTGCTAACGTGGCCGTAGCCCAAAAATAATATTAAAAAAAGCGCACAGAAGAAGAAGCAGCAGCAAAACTTTTGCTTATCCACAATAAACACTTCATTGCGCACTTGAGTTAATTTGTCAAGAACTCGACGCATATGTTCGAAATTATTGAAAAAGTTTCAAGTGTGAGCGAACGAAAGGAGAGAAACGCAGAGAGAGGCAGGAGAGAGAGCGAGAGAGAGGAAGGCAGATAGAGCAAGAGCGAGTAGCAAATTTTATGCTGTCCTTGATGGCTTTTCATTAGGTCCTGCGCCAGGCAATTGCAATTGTTGTAAAGCATGAATAATGCATGCTCCGAAAACTTTTATTAAAATGCATAAAACCACAGCCAGAAAAAAGAAAATGTATAACAAAAATGAGTAAGAAAAAATGCAAAGAAAAAAACTTGAGAATTTTATAGCTGACCAGCGTCAATTGGCTGTGGCATAGAAGCTGTTAGTCAGATTTTACAGTGTTTCCATCTGCTAACATTTGATGTAAAGTGGCAAAGCCATGATTGAAGCAATGCCAGATATTTGTAAAGTTTATTGACAAGAAATATTTTTGAACTTAAATTTAATTTATTTTCAAGAAATTTTGGCACAGTTGTAGAAGCTGATTTAGTAACTGATTGATTGATTGTTTGATTGATGATGGATATTGTTAGAAACATAAAATGTTTTCATCTTTAGTTTTTGCTTATTTTCAAAAAACTTGTCGATTTCCCTTATCAAGAAATACATTTTATATCTAGTGTATGATTTATCCTGAAGGAATGTTGCTCTTCTCTTATATATAAACGTAATATCTTTGATTGATCAATGATTGATGAGTGCAGTCTCTACAGTCTCTCGACTTTTGCTGTTCTTTTCACAAAACTTTTTAAAAAATGAAAACTCAAACTGAAATTTCGATTCGTAACATTTGCTTCTTCAGAGATTTATTGTGTCGTATAAGTTAAGTGCTTACAAATTCGATTGTTTTGCGCTAGCTGCCGAGCAGTGGAAACAAGTTTGTTTTTCTGTATTTGCTTTGCTTGCAAACTCAAATGGGGCCTTGAGCTTTGTTCCAGCTGTTTTCCCTTTTCTGTTCAATAAACTGTAATTCGTGTGTGTGTGAGCAAGCATTTGTCGCACGTACACACACGCGTATGTGCACACATTCACACACATACACACACGCAGTCAATTGCACACATCTCTAGCTGCACACACACACACACACATATATATATATATAGTGCACTTGGCATACATGGCGTATGAGTGACATTTAATTAAAATTTATGCAGTCTAAAAGGCAAAAATAACACACAAAAAACGTAGTGGAAGACCTTCTTGTGCTGCTCCTTCTAGCAGTTGTTGTTGCTGCTCTTGTTGTTGTTGTTGTTGTTGCAGCTGACTGAGGCTGTTCAAATTTATGCAACGCGCGTCATTTTGTTTGAGTTTTATTAAACGCTGGCAGTTGTAACTCGGCTCGTAATCATGTGTAAATTTGTTTTTACACCGAGCGAACAGGAGCGGGAACGGGAATGAGTATGGGAATGGGAACAGCATAGAGCACAGGTCGAGCGCTTGTTCTCAGGACCCTCTATCAGCCGCTGCCCCACCTCCTCTACTATCTACTATCTGCTTGACTCCTTTCTGTGTGTGGCTGAGCATTGTGGCCATACGTTGTCAGAGCAGTGTGCAGAAATTTTCTAATATTTAAATGGGAAATTGTATGCTTAGGGCATAATTGCACTTTGCACTCAGCATTGTGTGCGTGTTCGTGTTCGTGTCCGTGTCCGTGTGTGTGTGTGTGTCCGTGTGTGTGTCAAGTGGATAACTAATGTGCAGCTGCATAATTAGAGTTTGGGTGTTTCAACTTATTGCTGTCTTTCGTATTATTTGAGATTATCTAACTTGGCTAAGTGAAGAGCTGATCAAATTGCTTGAATTATGGCACTAAATTAACAATTTCACTTTTAAATTGAACTTTAACGACTTGTAAGCCCATTTAGTTGGGCACTTCAGACTAATACAATTTATGATTGAAATTTAAAGACTTGAGCTGCTGTCGTTGGTATGTTTCATTTACTTTTTCACTTTGATATTTTATTTTTAATATTTTAATTATAATTTTGATTGTTGTTTATTATATTTATATAGTTTGTTTTTCATATTGAAATTATTTCTACTGAACATCCCAGATGAAGTTCATAGCATACTATTATATTTATATAGTTAATATATTTATATAAAATATTTATTTAATTATATTTAAAATAATTGCATTATTTTTTATTATTTTAATATTTTTGCTTTGCTCTTTCTGTATAATAAAATTATATTAATTTTAAAATTTATTAATTTTAGAATATAATATTATATTTATGTATTTAAGTATATATTTTATTAAATATATTAATTTTTTATTTCATAATAAATATTATTTAATTGTTAAATTAATTTATAATTATTATTAAATTGCCTGCTACATTTTTTTTTAAATATATATCAATCAAGATGATTTATAATATTTTATATTTTATTTTTTATATAATTAATTATTATTATTATTTTTTTGTTAATTTAAATGTTTGCCCTATTTTTTTTTTTTGCTTTTTGCCCAGTTAAGTTTCTCTGTATAGTTATTTTTTTAGAACAGTCAAAAGCTGTGAAGGAATTTTCATTGTTTTATATTAGTTTAATATTATTGATTTTATTATTCCCTTTTATAAATATATTTTATATACAATTACATTAAAAATGTTAAATTTATCACTTTGGCTGTTGTTGTTTGCGTCTCTCTCCTCTCATTTTCTCTCTCTTTCTCACTCCCATTGCATTCTGCTCTCAAATGCTTCGCTTTGCCTCCACTTTGACGATCTTGCCCTGCTTTTTGGCCAGCATCCAGGCCTGCAGCTGCATGCGTCTGTAGTGCAAATGCCTCTGCAGACTCTTCTTAAAGATCGTCTCCCGGGCGAGTATCTCGAGATCCTCGTCGCTGCATTCGCGTATGTTCTGCTTGGTTCTGGCTATTAGCTCGTTGGTGAGCTGTATCTTGGTGGCCGAGCTGCGTACGGAGTGCAGCTTGCGGCGCCTCAGTTCCTCGCGATGCAAGTACAGTGCATAGGCTGTGCTGGCTGCCGCATTTTGTTGCATTGGTTGCTGTGGCTCTTGAGTCGGCGTCTGTTGGGGATTGCACATCTTGGCTGCTGGAATGCTGAACTACGTTTGCTGTCCTCAGCTCGGCTGTCGCTCACTTTTATGCCACAAATCGGTGGCACCGCAAAATACCTGCTCATTCATGAGCTGCGCCGCTGCTGCCACGGCACAGGTCAACGAGGAGACGGTTCCTTTTTTTTTTAGGGTTCATTGCAATCATTGCATTTTTTATAACTGGATTACCAAGCAAAAAAAAGTGTGCTTAATCCCATTCATTACCTAAAAAGTGTCGTAAAGTCGCAACGGCTGGCAGCAGAGGCAGCGGCCAGCGACAGCAGCTAGGAGCTGGCCGCAAGGAGTCGAGTTTGGTCCTGCGCGCTTTCACACGCTAATCCAGATGCATGTATAACCGGATTAGGCCAAACGAACTGTTTATGGGTCAAGTGACGCTGGCCTGTGCCTGTGCCAGCATGTTCAGCATGTTGCATGCTACATGCGGCACGTTGCATATCATTTGCGCGTTGTTAGCTAATCCTCTATACACAACTCTCTCTCTCTTTCTCTCAGTTTCCCATTCGCGCGCTTTGGTCGCAATTAGCATCATAATGAACCGACAGCTGATGGCTTTTTAGTTTTTGGGAAATTCACATGACCAGAGTTGCGGCAGCCAGGGTTGTCAGCTTTGTCCGTTCGCCAGCCATCCTGCCAAATTGCCAGCTGACCCAAATTTCTGAACGGGGCTAAACCAAATATTTGGCTTTAATCGCTGCGAGGCAGCTTTAATGAATTTCAAGTTCGTTGAACGTGTGTAATTAACAAAACTATTCGCAGATAACAAGATTAAAAGCGGAATCTACTGTCCACTATCAATTTGTATACCCTGTATACTTCCGAAAAGTGGCGATCTATGACGCATCAGTTGGAATCAGTCAAAATCTGCGAATCCTGCCTCATTCCCTTATTTGCCAAGTTATCAACATTTTTAGGCATTCATTGCGTGCGTGAACTTTAAAAATGTTTGCTCAGTTCTCAGCGAAAGCTGTTGACCTTAAAGCTCAAGAGCTGGTCGTAAACTCATTAAATTTGGCCATTTTCAACGCCTTGTATCATCGCATTTTTCAATAAGCCTGCGTCCTGCGGGAGCCCATGCCTGCCGGCAAAAAGGAATGTAAAGAAAATATCAGCTCCTTGGGCTGCTGCACATTTGATACCACGTACAATGGGGCATATGCGTTGTGGGTTGTGAAGACATTAACACGAATCTTCTATAAGTTCTTAGTAAATCGAAAATGTACGATATATATACGATATGTATATATATTTGATACATATGAGGTAAATAAATTTATTGAGTATATCTTTGAGTCGCATATTTTAAGATTGAGCTTTGCCAATTTAATCTCTGTTAATAATAGGAAAGTTCTAAAGTGGCAAAAGTTTTCTCCGCCTGTTTCTCATGTCAACCGGGAAGGATTTGGTTCGGAATAATTATATATTTTATATAGCTTCATCTGCTCCAAGCAGTCAAGAAAAACAGCATTAAATCATTGATAAAATTCAAGTTTAAACTATTGCCAGGATTTAGTTCTTTAAACATTGCCAAAACAATAAAAAACTCTACATATTTCTAATTGATTTGCGACTTTTTCTCTAGCTATATTTAATTTGATTACAAAATAACAATTTCAGCTCCAATTTTAAATGTTCGTTTTCATTTTCAAGCCTTAGCTTGGCTCACATGGAGTACAGGGTATTTACGCTTTGGCATGCCGCATTCAAAGTAACTTTCTTCTTATATTTCATTATGTAAAGGGGTTTTCTTCGAGCTGTCGACACTTGGGGGTGCTGCGAGGGCTGGTCCAGGGGTTTTTGGTTCGTGCGCAATGTGCGAAAATCACAACATTTTAATCTTATAATCTGAATTTATGAGCAGACTCAATTTCGTTATGCTTAACGACATTTTATGCGGTTATTTTATGCAGGCAGCCAAAGCTCGAGTAGATGAAGCATAATGCTGTCTCATTCGCACACACACACACACCCATACATGTGCTCTGCGGTTTGTTGGCATCCTAAATGGTAGCAGTAGCAGCAGCAGCTGCTAGCTACAACGACGAAAGTTAAGTACATCAAATAGTGTGTGTGTGTGTGTGTGTGTTAGGGGGAAACGTGAGCTATGTGTGTATGTGTGGCAGTGTGAATGTGTGTGTAAGTGGGTGCTTGAGATTTTGTATGGTCGCACAAAACACATTAGTTGAAAGTACTGACCAACAAAGCCACTAACAAGCTGTTGGTTGACTCCCCGCACACACACCCACACACACACACCCACATCTTGTACTGCATTACATATTGAAGTGCCATTATGTGTGCCAAAATATTTGCCTGCATTCACCTCGTTTTCTCTTTTGTTGTTTAGCTCAACATTTTGTCGTTGAAAACTTTTTTAATAAAATCATTTAAATTAATGAAACTTTAAATTAATATGCATATTAAAGCTATTCGTTTGTGCTTAAACAGAAATAACTTTCATTTAACTCTTTTTATGTTTTTATTATTGCCAAGAAAAAAACTTTTATTATCTTCATATATATCACACGCGCAGCGAGAACTGCAAGTCACTTGCTTAAAACTTATTTTTAATGGAAATTCTACAGATATACGCATGGATGCATGTGTATATATACACATATGCATATATATATATATATATATATATATATAAATATACTATGCATATGCATTCATAGTAATAGTATTTCATGCGCTTTAATTCATTTGCTTAAAAGTTTTTGCTGCTCAAATTTCAGCCACAAATAAATATATATATAAATATATATTTCATATATTCTAAAGCCTTTGGGCACTTTAAGCTTGTGATATTAAAAGAAAAAATTGATTGAATTCATATACAGTTATAACTACTTAAAGTATATATTAGATATTTATATTGGGTCCGTTTTGTAAGGCCTTTCCTACATTTATTAAACAAAGCTTTAAAGTGTTGGTTGAAAAACGAAATTGATTAAAAATAATTTTGATTTTCTAACAATTTATTTGGTTTGCTCAGCTGCAAGACTAATTTAGCTCTGCTAAAAGTTGTATATGTCTCAAAAATATATTAGTTATTTATAGAACTTTATCTATTTTATATATTTGTCATCAATAATACTTCTCTATAAACTTTAAAATAGCTAAAAAATTAAAGTTAATGTTAAAAATTTGCATATTCAAAAAAAATATATATATAAAAAAATATTTTATTTTTCTGCTATAATATTTCACTTCAGAAACTTTTTTAAAAAATTTTCTTAATGAAAATATTTTTTGTTAAAATACTTTAACAAATTTTTGCTTCATATTTTCATATGCCACAAACAAATTCTTTTTGTAAAATTTTTATAAGCGCCTAACAAATTTAGTAAGATTTCATTAAAATTATCCAATTTTTGTATTACTTTATCAACCTAACCTTAGCCTTGGCTAAAACATAAGAAAATTATCTAATTTTCCATATCGCTTTTATAAAATTTATAGAATCATTCAGCAAATGTTTTATAAGATTTTATCAGATTATCTGATTTATCTATTATTCTAACTTCTTTTATAAAGACTTTGCTCTGACTAATGCGGAAAAGCAAATCTTGTAAATCTTTGATTATATTTCAGTTGCACAAACCATTTTTCGTTCACTAGACAAATGTAAAAGTTTAAAAATACTTGTTTGCATTTAAAATTTCATTTAAATATACATAAGTATCCGTTGTTAAATATATATATATATATATATATATATATATATATATATATATATATATATATATATATATATATATATTTTTCCTTTTTTTATATTTTTTGTTATTTCTCTTGGTTGTTTAATCCATATAAATTGCTGTTGCTCTTTGTGTTTGTCCTGTTTTCGACTTATTGTCTTGCCTAAATATTTATGCTGATTTCTATTTTTGCATATTATATATATATATATATATTTTTTGTTTTTCTTTTCGTTCTTTGCTGCTGTCAATTGCGCGTTGTTGTCGCGCGTCTATTGATGCCGTGGTAGCCATTTTGCTTGGCTGTCTTGCGGCTGGTCTCTCTGTTGCTGCTGCTGCCGCTGCTGCTGCTGCTGCTGCTGTTGCCACTGCCGCTGTTATTGCTGGCCGTATCTACATCCGTTTCCGCTACAATTGGCGGACCCCATGACACTTGTCTCCGCACAGTGGGTGCCGTAGTCGCAGTTCCTTTACGTCGCCTATTGCTCTGCTGTTGAAGTGTTGCAGCTCTTTGTAGCGGCTGCTTCTGTGGCAACGGCTGCTGCTGCCTTTGATTTTCATGTTTCTGCTGCTGCTGCGGAGATGTTTGGCATTGTATTTTATTAAAAACTTTTTTTCGTTCTCTGTCGTTTCACATCTTCTTTTTTTTTTTTTTGCATATTTCTTCATTCAAACATTTGCTGCTGCCACGCTGCATATACTTTAATTAGTTTGGCTGCCAACAACGCTGTTGCATGCAACGTTTTACAGTTGGTTGGGATTGCTTCATGCATAGCTTTTAATTAACATGCTGTTCACAATGCACTCGTGCTTCTATTCAACTGGCTAGCATTGTTACTGCCATGCCAGACGCATACGTAGAACCTGCTAAAGGATCTAGCTCTTAGCTAATTTGATGATTTTTTATAGAATCCTCACAGATGTTAATGAAACAGTTAATTGGCAATTGCAGTGGGTTATAAAGTGTGCTTTATTTAGGTTTATTTTTAGTTGAAAAAGAGTTTTTATTTGTTGGCTAGGAAAATATATCAAATATATATATTATATATATATATATTTATATATATATATATATATATATATATATATATATATATATATATATATATATATATATATATGCATATATATATATATATATATGTATATATATATATTAGTAATTTTCTTTCTCTATGCAATCCAAGTCTTAAATTTTATGGATCCCATTTGGAATGGTTCAATTTGAAGTGCATAGCAGCAGCTTTCTATGTATTTGTATTTACCTACTCGATCGGCTTAAATAAGTAAATGTATATAGCTTGGGTT